AATCACTCGGATTGTGACAGGGAGTTGCTTGCTAGTTTCATGGTTCCACTTGCGGTGTACTGGAAGATGTTTATGCCTCTGTGTCTCTTGTTCTGTTTGTCATTAACTGTATCTATTTAAATTTGCATTATAATGCTTTCAGTTACTTTGTTTTGACACGAATGGCCAAAATTGATTTAACTTTTGCGGAGATGTATATTAACATGCATCCGAGGCTTTATACAAGTTTGAATGAAAGAATTATAAACAGAAGAACCAAGAGGGTCACTAGAAGTTTAAAATGGATCAAGGATTGCATGAGATGTGGAGAGAATGCAATAGGGCAGATCTGCTCATACAGGATTTTGTAGAGAGTTTGCAGGTTGTCGTCTTTAAAGATAAATTTTATGAGTCCAATTGATGTAATGAGGAGGGAGAGGAGACAATGTGCAGGTAACGATTTATCAAAAGGGTTGTCCATTTTTTTCTGTCATGCTCTATTAAGTTATTCACTCTCCCTTGTAAAACTTGCCTCTCGTATCCTTCCGGCTAGAACAGATCTCGAGAATTTGCTGTGGTTACCTTTTGTTGCTTTCTGTAAATGATCATTGCAGACCTAAAGCAGACCACAGGTGAAAATAAGATGAGGGAATAAAATCCTGTGAAGATCATTTCACCATAAAAGGACATTATTAAGCTGATGAAATCTTTCAGTTTTTCCATTAGGAAATCTGAGTGGAATGGGAAGTGTAAGGAAGCATCCTCTGCAGTAGCCAACAAGGCAGTAAACAAGTCAAGTATGAAACAAACTATTAATTCTTGTGTAATAGTAGCACAGCTCAAAGAGCTAAATAATTACAGTTGCACCCCAAGCCCACTCTTACTGTCTTCCTAGATTGTACATTTGGAGAAGGATGAATCTGCTGCCCATTAATCTCCTTTTACCACAGGGAGGTCTGATAGTCCCAGCCTGTGTGTCCCTTCACACAGCTGCTGTGTTTATTAAAAAGAACCAGCCAGAGAAGTGCTTTTATCTTCCTCAAATGTGTCTTCCCCTAGCAGAGATTTTTTTTTTTTTTTTTTAGTAAATACCTTCTCTTTTGAGCCATATAAACTTGCTCTTATGAGGGAGAAAATTATTTCTCCTTTTTCCCTTACACTGCTGTTAATGTATGTTGCAATCCATATTTATAAAAATTACTTACAGTAATTATGCACTTGTATATAACAGATCTCTAGCTGCTTTTCCAGTTTAAAAAGAACCAGCCAGAGAAGTGCTTTTATCTTCCTCAAATGTGTCTTCCCCTAGCAGAGATTTTTTTTTTTTTTTTTTAGTAAATACCTTCTCTTTTGAGCCATATAAACTTGCTCTTATGAGGGAGAAAATTATTTCTCCTTTTTCCCTTACACTGCTGTTAATGTATGTTGCAATCCATATTTATAAAAATTACTTACAGTAATTATGCACTTGTATATAACAGATCTCTAGCTGTCTTTTCCAGTTTTTAGCAGAGAGAAATAGCAGCCTTTTTTTTTTGTTTTGGAATTGTGCAGATTTTCATACAAGTGATGTTCGAAACAAAAATATGTAGTCATTTATATATTTTCTTAAAACTGAAGTGTGATCTGAGGACTCTGTAAGCTTCAGTGGTTTCATATTGTCAGGGGCATTGCAAAAGCCATTTTGCTAGAAGGAGGGGGAAAAAAAAACAACGTGAGACTGCTTTATAGCTTTATAATTCATAGGTTCCTCCCTGGGAGACGGTAGTTCATGTGTGGATAGATGGTCTTCATAAAAGATATGAAGAAAGAAGCCCATTAATGCAGGAAAATAAATAGGTAACTCTGGGTTTATCCTAATAGTATAAAGTAAATAGCTCATATAAGCCTGATGCCTTGAGTTCTCCTTATAGGATAAACAACTGTGCGCAAGTCCTGTATTTAGACTCCAGCCATAGATTTTCTTTAATTGGAAAATAAATAGTGTGTGTCAGAAAAATAGTTGACTTACATTTTGGCCACCCACATGGTGTACAGTCTGGCAGAAAAATTGCCCACTCAAGTCTGACCTGTTTTATAATACTGTAAATATCAGATTTAAGCTGGCTGAATCCATTGAAAATTATACGTAGAGATACCTTAGTGGTAACTCAAAAAAAGGTTAGAGTCATTTCCATCTTCCAAGGGAAATTTGTCACAGCCTTACCTGTCAAGTTTTTTTTTTCCACGCAGCTGCTGTTAGCAGGAGTTCCGTGTGCTAGGTCGTCTGGGGGTGGTTAGTACGGCAAAGGCAGTTTGCAGAATTTTCTACACGCGGTAGTATGAGTTACGGCACAGGATGAGAGGAAGTATTATGATTATTGGTAATCGAGTGATACAAGAACTATCTTTGGTTCTCTAACACCATTCATGTTAGGAAGAAATCTGTGCACCAGCCAGGGGTTTCTGTTAACTGGATTATAACATGCTGAAGGTGAACAGTGTGATACTTCCCAGCACGGATCTTACAGCTGAATTCTTGGTTACTGACATTAAAGCGTAGATAGAATTTCACTTTACCTTATGTCAAAAGTTTTGGTGTTTTGGTTTGGTTTTTAAAATCTATAGAGTATAAGCAGCTGAAAAAATAGCTCCAATTATTGGAAGATAAGTCAATGTATTGGACTGTATTTATTCCCAAAACACTGTTGGGTTGACAGTTAAGACATATCCTGCTAAATTTTGTTTATAATGATCACAGCTTCTAGGACCGTAAAACATTAGTGGTGGAACTGAGATTCAGAATATTCGAGAATTTTAAAGGTGGTTAACACAGAATGAAAAGTATACAGCTAAGTAACCTCTCTTTCCACAGTGGCTTCTACTTGCTTCCCTTCACATATATGCATATTTATAGGGGAGGGTGTGTATGTGTATGTATGTACGCATATAGAAGAGGGGTAGAGGAAATTTTGGGATGTAGTTTACTGTGCTCAGTTCACACCACCTGATTTTTCACCTACAATAAAGCATTACAGTGGGCATGGAAATAGGGCCACGGATGTAAAGTGTATTAACTTGCGTTTAAGAGACAAAAGAAAGCCTAAGAAAGATCCTCGTTCTTAGTCTTCGTGCTTGGAGTTGCTTGTGTTTGCTACTGTCTCACCCAGCCTGCATCAGCCACAAAGACCTTGTACGATGTCTAGTAACTTCCTGGGACTGCCCTGAATTCCCTCGTTTCTGTCTATTTCCATTATAATGCCTGAAACAGGGGGAAGGGTCCGTAGTGCGATCCCTGCATCAGGAGCGTCCAAAGCAAAAGTCTGGATCAGCTGGCCTGTAATGCGATTCCTTTAGTCTACAGCCCCAAAGTGAAAACTTAATGTTTCCTTAATGTTCTGGTCTTTCTTTCTTTTGGTGCGTGTTTTCAAGCAACCTATTTTCCAGGTATGAATGTCTACCGCAAAGTGGTTCCAAGGAGGTTGGAACCTGCCCACCCCCTCCAGTGTATTAGCTGTATTTTCCACAGTGACTTTGTGTGGTGGTGGTGTTTAGCCATATTTGTAGTCCCTTGATATTTTTGTTTGTATTCTCTTTCCATTGATGTTTAATGGAAGAACTGATAATTACGGTATTTAAGGATTTGGATAGAAAACTGTTCCATTGGAGAGTGGAAATATCTCCGAAGTATTTTTGACGTAGAAACATCTTTTATGTTTCAAGAGAATGCAGCTCTATCTGGCCGTTGCCTGTAAACACACATCTAACACCGTTCTGTTCCTCTGCAGTTTTGCCCTTGGGCTGCGAAGGTGGCACTCTGCATCGCGAGTGAGGTAGCAATAAAGGACACACAAGTTTAGCATTATGACACCAGTGCTCTCGTGTCAGTTTTTTCCTCTGCACAAACAGAATGAGGTCACTTTAGGTAAAAGAAAACTCTCTTAATCACAAGAGGAAAACGTGTGAGAGAGATTTGTAGACACAGAAAGCAAGCCAGCCTTTTGCAGCCTTCTCTAACTTAATAAATTAATAAACAGCTGTTTGGCTTTTCAAATTTTCTCAGCAGTAAGTGTTGTTAATCAATTTTTAATGCAACAATTAAAAGGATAGGAAAACTGCTATCCAGCTTTCACCAGAATAATTGATTTCTGCAAGACCTTAACTATCTCTTAACTGTTCTGCTTCAGTGTAAGAGTTCTGTGCAGAATACACAAATAGAGCCAATGGAAGTCAGAGGAAAACATAGCTATGTTTATTTTAAAAAGTCTTCCCAAATGTTAGTGGCAACCTAATGGTTCAAAAATGAGGCCACTGTATTTTGGATTGCAGGTATTTAATCTGCCTGCATATTTATGAGGAATGCAAATAAAAAACCGTCTGAAATATTTGGCAACTAGGGCTGCAAATAATGCCTCCATAACTACAGTAAGAATAACCAAAACGAAGCAGTAATCATAAGAGTTTAAACACCAAATCTGCTGAACATTTCCGTTGAAAAATACAAAGTCCAAACCCATAGAAATTCCCAACCTTGGTGTGTTATGGCCTAGAATTGAGGCTGGTATTACCAGAGCATCCAAAGCAACAGTGGAGCACTGTTATACTGAGGTATCTGGTGGGAGATTATAAGCTTGTGGTGGGCAGAACGAGGACGGTTTGTACTATCTAATCTTAGGTGTTTAGTGGAAGTGCCGAAATGAGGAGGCTAGTCTCTGTTTTCAGTTTACTTAGCATATTGCTGAGGATGAAGCTGATGATCTCATAGATGTTTTCTCTTACGCAGTCAGTAGCTTAGATTACCTGTTCTCATGTTCATAAAAACATAATGTGCTCATAGACAGCTACAAAATTTGCCCATCTCCTTAAGATACACCCGGAAAGGATTTAATAAATTTTTAAGCTCCGTAGGAGGACCAGGGTGCATTGCCCTATTCCCGGGTTCATTCACATGCCTGTAGTGTTACTTACGTAGATACGCTACAGGTGAAATATCTGCTGGTACCAAAGAATGGTATTGAAATGCTCTGCTTCTCTTTTGCCAGGTAACTGCATTTTGTGATGTTGATGAAAAGAAAATAACAAAAGGATTCTACACCTATGAAGAATCTGAGGTTAGTTATAAGTACTCTTGCATTCTTTACTGTGATCTAGAAGTGTTCTGGGAAATGTGATGAAAGAACACATCACTGATTTTAAATACTGTATAACAACTCATTTTGATGAGGAGGCCGTGACAGAAGACTAGATAGCTGGGGATTGATCCTGGAATGCGAACCATGGAGCCAGAACTACGGACCTCACACTCACTGAAGTCAGTTTAGAAAGACAAAAATATATATACTCTGAAAGGATTCTGATGATGGGGTAAAACAATGCCTTCACTGACGCTTTTCTTTTAACTGGGAGTAGAATTTGGCTCATGATGGCTAAAAGTCAAATACCTGTTAAAATAAAGAAAGCTTCTGTGATTAATTGTAACCTATCTGTATATTATACCGTATCTGAACAAAACTGATAGGTTCCTTGGGAGCCTAAAATTGTAGGTGGCAACATTTTATTCCCTAGACAAGGAAGCATGGTATTTAGATGCCAATAAACAATCCATATAGAAAAAAAATGTTGTCGCAGTATTAATTTCATGATAGCAATTAGCTCAAGACCAGGAGCAAAGCTTCATCCAGATTCAGTCCCTACAACAGTTGGTGAAAAGACAGTTCTTAGTTTCACTGGGCATTGGATCAGATCCTGTGAGCGCAGTCTTCCGAGAGTGCAATTTGACATTACAGCTTAGCCAGTCTAACTGCAGGGGTGGTCTGACTGCGCTCGCTGGCCTCAGCCACGCACTCCCACTGCTTTGTTTATAATGGGTCTAGCAATCTTGTGGCTAAAGGATGACTTGATTCAGTTATCTGGCAGAAAAGGAACCCTCAAAATAAAAGGTTTTCCAGCAAGTTATCTTGTGAATCAAATTACCCTGAGATTGCGTGTTCCTTATATCTGATAGGAGTAGGACTGAGGGGAGGGGTAGAGGGAGAGGAGGGGCACCTCCTCAGATACAGCTTGTGGTTAGACTAGGGTAACTGTAAAATCAAATTCTATACTGGAAGATGAGTGCTTTCAGCCGCATGAAAGCAATCGGAGTTCAGGATTTTGACCTGGAATACCGAGGACTCACTAACTACCAGTGCAGTAATACTGTCAGCATATTTGTTACAGATCCTGTGCATTTGTCCTCCTGAGACATACCCATCCTCTCAGATCAGTCGTAAAGAAGATTGTACTGCAACCTGTTGTGAATCCTTAGAAAATTCTGCAGCTTGGATCCATGGTGAAGTCCCAGTTGGGCATAAGCCATTTAACAGCTCCCACTGAGAGGGAAAGATTCTCCTTTGTATCCGCTATTGTGCCTGCTCTGATGCTTCTCTGATGGCACAGTAAGCTGATGCAGCTCACTAAAGTGGCAGAAAATTAACCTGCCAAAAAAAGAAAGAACATATTTTTTTATGGGGTAGGCTATTAAAGCAGCATACCTTGCAATCAGATCAAAGAGGGAATTGTTTGGGAAAGGGCTAAAAGCAGAGCTTGGAGGTAAGGAAGAAGCAGCGGAGGAGAGGAGTGAGACCTTCTCCTTTCAACAGCAGAAGGCTCTTAATTCAGATCTGGTGTAACGTGTAACTTCGTTCAAAGAAACACAATTGTATTGAAAGATTATGGTAAGAAAATAAGGGGTACTTGAAACGACTGGCAAAATAATGAGCGGAAGCATGTGACCAGCTGGACTATTTAGCATGAGGTCTCAAAGTAATTTTTTCCCCTTTTAGTGTTTAGTAGCTCCTAAAACTAAGCTAACAAGTAATCCTGTGTGCCTCTCTACTGAAGTCTACTGCTTTTTCCTGCAGGAGAGACCAAAACCAAAAATTCCTATATGTCACTTCAGAGACGCAACTCCACCTTTCATTATCTGCGTGAAGCTGGTGAGAACCACCTTTAGCCTTGGCTTTATGTGCAAAATCAGTATTTGCTCCTTATGAACATGAATTTCTATTTACTGTAAGTAGCTTTTCCCAGAAGCTTCTACTATGCAATTGAATGGCCTTTTTAATCAAATTGATTGTGCAGAGTATTTCAGGGATTTAAAACAGCAGTGTTAAGTAAAGTAGTATTAAGAATAATAAAAGGTACAGCTTCTGTAAAGGAGCTTGGATCTGTTTTACTTCCTTGCCCAACATTATATACACAAATGAGCATATACAGTCAGCCACCTGGCCTCGCTTATTCCTAATACTGTGCAGCCCTATGTATGTGTCCTGGCTTCGGTTGGGATAGAGTTAATTTTCTTCCTAGTTGCCTCAGTTGCTGACTGAGGTTAAACCACCAGAACGGCAAGGCTTTGTTTTTTAATTCGGACCTTACACGCCATTTTGTTTGGCACTGCCAATTCTGGAGCCTCTTTTGTGCCTGACTGTGGTAACTTTCTTACTTCAGCTGGTTTAATTGACCTAATAACATAACTAGAAGATGATAACCAGTTATTTTGCTGTTATATTTACAATAGCAAAGCACAGTGTATGGGATAACACAGAAGTTTTAAAGCAAAATAGCAAATACATTCTAGTTGCAAATGCTAGTAAAGAAGTCTCTAACAGTAACTAAAACCTGTAGCTACGTATAAACACTGACATTCTAATGCTGTACTAGATCTGTTCAGAGATTGATTAGCCAAATCTCATCACATCTGGTACAGTCTGCTTTTAACTTAGCACTCCCAACTTTACGATCAACTCTGAGATCATAACTATGAGTTGTAAAGAAAGACTGAAAGTACCTTAGGGCATTATCATGTACTGTTGGTTGATAAGCTCTTGGATAAGCTAGTAATATTACAACTAATTTAATTTTTCATACTACATATAATGGTGGGTGGAAGTCCCTAGACAAAACATCTGTGCAACCTGTTATAAAGCACGTTTAATTTGCGAAGCCCTTACAATGAGACTATTATACATCTTGCCTGAAAACTCTGGTCCGTGACTTCAGTTGTGATTTCAGTCTATTTTTCCGCTCACGGCCACTGAGCATTTTCTACTTGCTGATCACAGAACAGTATAGGCCATAGTATCGTTTAAGTAATATGCAGTGTTTTCTTTGGAAATACAGTCTGACCTACTTGAAACAGTTTCAGAGTTTGTAAAGTTGCTTCTAAAATCTGTCTTTGAAGCAGCTCACTTTTTAGGAGAATGTAAGAAAGTCAATGGCCTTTCGTATGGAGCCACATCTCTAGAAACTGCAGGCAAGTTACCTCCTTACCCCTCTCACTTCATGATTGAATTACACAGTTGGCTACTGTGGAAGCTGGTGTTACGAGAGCTGATGGCAAAAACACCCTAGTGCCGAGGTAAATGAAGATCAATGCGCATGGAGTCCCCGCAGCGTTATACGCTGGGAAAACAAAATAGTGGCCAGTCAAGAACAATGCTGGTAATAAACTTGCGTAACAACATAATAAAAGTCCATAATGGAGCTTACCTTTCTACAGATTTTAAACATACTGATACCCGTTAATAATACGAACCTCACGGTACACCTGTGTCATTATACCATATTATTATTTTAATATTACGAAGACAGAGAATCAGGTTGTTAGAAAAACAAATTTATAATAAAGAACTGAAACCAAATTTTTCTGTTAGTGGTGCCTAATACCCTGTTATCACCTGAGAAACGACAGACATCGTAAGAAAGAAATAAAAACCATAAATATATCTGTACCAAAGTGTAGGAAGCATAAAACCCAGTGGAGAGAGAAAAGGAATCGGAGAGTCTCAGGAAGCAAGCAGCAGTGCTCCGAGTCCCACTCCAGAACAAAGTCGTCTGGACGCTCCTTTTCTCTACCATCGGGTTTTGCAGCTGATCTTAAGGAATAGTTTTTAGCAACCTCTTTCAGCTGTTGTCATACGTGCTGTATTTTACTACTGTTGTTAGGAGTCTTCGTGGAGGCTGTCAGAACCCGTGAAATCCCACTCTTACTACATGCGAGGTTGTGGGCGGATTGAAATGGCCGCAGCTTTCAGTAGTAGTTTTGTCATGGAAAGTAGTCTTCTACCAAAACAAAACAAGTTGATAAATGTCTGTGGTTTAAAATATCGAGGTATCTGTCTGCAGCAGCTTTCAGGCTTCTAGACCTGACCACTAAAGGTGGTGCTTTCTGTGCAGCCCACACATGAAGCAACAGCTAAAACCAAAACTTTCCACTTGCTTTTCTACATTTCTTCTTCCAACATGCGTTTTGAAAGTGGGAGCATAGGAAAAAGCAGGATAGAGGATAAGTACATAAAATATTAAGGCTGCATCAAATGAGAAATATTTTCTTTTTTGCGATAGCTATCGCTGCCTCTCTGATGCTATTCACCCAGATTTATCAAATCAAACTGTGCAAAAAGTGTTGCTGTTACAAGTTAAAGTCCCAGTCTGATGTGAAAGACTACAATTGAGACATAAAATTTCTCTGCAAAAGGGGTGCTATCCTTGCGCGTACTGTGGGGGCAAAACCAAAACTGCTGTGTTTGAGAGGTTACAAATGACCTGTATTTTCAAACTACTTAGGGCAAGTAGCTTTACCCAGCTCTGTGTTTCAGGTCATGCAGCAAGCAAGCATCACAAACCCCAGTGACCATACGGACATGTCTTGTGTAGACAGCTGTCAACGCAACAGCTACAACTTAGCTCCATGTTCATGGAACTGCTGGAAGTTTACGTAAGGCAGAACTCACTGCAGATCCTCTTAGCGAATTTCTTAAACAAAAAAGTCACCAACAAATTCCTAAACATCCCAGACTTCCAAATTTAGCTTTATTATTTACCAATGTAAGTTCATCACCATCCTTCTGAAGAAGAAAGTGTCCTGGGGCCTTACTGTCTTTTATGTTGCTGTTCAGGGTAGGGGATTATTTTTTAGTTTTGATACAGACAGAACCTGCATGTTTATATGCAGCTCTAAGAGGGTAATTTTGAAGATTAGATATGTTTATTAAGTGGGTTGTTTGCGAGAAACAACTCCGCTGGCCACGTACTTGGAGCAGTGTTTGCTTATTTATTTTTTCAGGCAGTTCCTCCCTTGCTAGCGTTGGCATTACTTTGTTACCATATAAAATCATTTTTGAAAAAGCAGTCATCCTATGTGAGCTTTGCTCAGTTTGCATTTGAAAACGGCTTCACAAAGGGCTGTAGCTGAAATTCTGCTCTCTGCGTGTAAGTTTTTGCTGAAGAGAATAAAATCGTGGCTTTAGCTCATCAAAATTGTCTAGCAGCCTGCAGTCCCACTTCACCTAAGGGTTTGCACTGTGTGTTTTCTCTTGCTTTGAGGTAAAAGCAAAACGCTTAGAAATCATGTATTGTGCCCTGTTTTGGCATGGATTCCAAGTGCTTGCAATGAAAGGGATTTTCTATTTTTCTGTCTCGGTAATTAAACTAGTTTTATTGTATAAAGTTTTCAGTAAATTTACTGTTAGACCAGTTATTGTAAAACCCTGCCTTGTTCTGTCACCTCAGTCTTGTGCTCTGGGAATGAAAGATTTGTTTTTAGCTCTCCTGCTTAATTTAGCATCTGGGCTTTTTTATATTTTTTTTATTAACCCTTCTTTACAGCAGGTTGATTTTCCAGCAAGCTGAAACCGCAACTGTTTCGTACCCTGTGTCCTAACTTGGGAAATCTTGGGTTTATGAAATCATTAGCAGAGACTAAAGGTCGTAATCCAGGCCTACATTTCTGAGTAGAATTCCCTGTTGACGTGAGTGGTAAGTTTTGCAGATGGACCAGGGACAGTTTGGGATCTTAACTGAATTGCGAAACTAGGACCCAGTCGTTCGAAGTATTAAATACCATCAAGCATTCATGATTTCAAGAAGTTAAAAAAAAAAACCAAAACGTACTCAACATCTTTCACAATCGGGGCCTTATCGCTCAGATAAGAATTGGTTAACTTAGGTAAGTGGAGCCCTTGTTTAAAAAGCCTGGTGCCACGGGCCCTTTCCTGCCCTTCTCCAAATTATTCATTAGCTATTCTTATTTTTTTTATGGTTAGTAAACATCGGAGCTCAATTACGAATTTTATGACTGGTGGTTATGTTTTGTGTTGAAGTTCTGGATCAGATTATGTCATCTTTGTATTTTTTTGGCATTGCTAGTGAAAATAGAAGAACATGGCAGGTAGGTAAGAATCGTATAGGAGAGAGGGGAGTTAATCTGTGCTCCTGAGGCACAGCATGCTCGTTTGGGCAAGAGGTATGAAATGTACACATGCAGTGTTTCCTTGCCTGTATAAATTCAGGCAGCAGAAACAATGCAGAGGTTTGGAGGAGATGGGTCAGCTTGTTTTGTTACTAGACTCCCCGATGATGGAGATGGCCATGTTCCTTGAACAGAAGGCTTCCGAGCAACACCCAAGTACCATGAGCATGTTTAGAAGCAGTTCAGCTGATGGGTCCAAGGCGAGCTGGGAAGCTGGATGTAGAGCGCTCCGTGTGAGACAGAAACCTTAGTTGCTGAACTCAGGTTCATTAAAGATCCCAGAGCAATTTTTTCAATCCAGTTATTCTAGCCAAAGCCTAGCGTTCCGCCTCCTTTAATGCCACAGTTTCACTTGGACTGTTGTTGTGGCTTCCTGTCCTAAACACCTGCCAGTACTGTTGTGCATTGTTAAAACTTCAATACTGCTGCTCGGGGCCAGCCAAAAGAACACTAGCAACCTCTTCACCTACAGCATGTAGTATTGTGAGCTTTAATGCGTTATTTTTTTTTGGTGATGTTCCTGAAGATCGGTAGAATTAAGGACTCCAGGAAGACCAAAGTAGAAATGCTCAGAAACGCTGAAGTGGGGATGTTTTCTTAATGACATCACTGCCTTGCAAGATTGCTCATGGAGCGACCCTACCAGGTTCCTGTTCAGCTAACGTAACTAACTAGGGCTCAAAAGGAAACACCTTTAACTATGCAAAGTATTTCAGTTGCTTGATGAAGGATTTGTTTCGTCGGACAAGCTAATCATTGTTGAAAAATCTACAAAAATTGCTCTTTTGTCAAACTCATTCCCTTGGTCCATTCTCTGAAAACGCCTGCCTTTTAGAAAACAAAATGTGCAGATAGCTATCTGCAGAGCTGTGCTTAGCATAGCCTTTGTGCTCTACACGGCCGCAGGAGAATGAGTTGTCTGATATCCCCCCCCCAAACATATTAAATTGAACACCAGGTTTTCAGCATATGCTTAATTTTTGAATGGAAACATTTCTGAGCCTTGGTTTATTTATGTTTAGTTCTGCAAAAGGGACTTCCTTCTGTGGTCTAAAGAACCAAATTACCAAAACCTGTTACAACCCGAGATGAGTTTGGTTGGTCTAATTCTTTTTTTCTTCCCTCGCAGGATTTGACAGGTGGAGCATTTGAAACAAACCTGAACACGCTGAACTTGAAGGAAGGGATGGATTATTATCACTTTAACTAAAAACCAAGGTAAGGCAGTGATATTGAAGCTGTGTTATCCTCTAGGTATCTGTGTGTAGGAAGTCCAAAGTGTTCAGAGGTTTAGAATTTTTTAGTAATTCGTGCTTCATTAAATTAATCTTTGTGCTGAGTAACCCCTGTCTAAGGGAGGTCCTAGTTACACCACGGAAAATGCTATTTGCTCATTTTACTATTGCACATCACTCGTTTACCAAACTCAGTTTGATTGTTAAATTGTATTTCTAATTTAAATAACCATCAAATACAGGCCTTAAGATTACAGGAGGACTGTTACCATAGGGAAGCCTTAAAAATGCATCAAGCAAAGCCTGTAACCACTGGAAGTGTAAAGAGAGGTTTCTGTCAAACACTGCCGGGGGCCCTCAACCATTCCCCGCGATTGGCTCCTTTCCTGCTACGGGGAGCAGCAGCTGGTGCTTGCGGAGGTGAAGCTCTGCGCAGGGCTAGTACTGAGATTCAAGTGTGGCATCCTCCGATTCAGGGCTGCGTGAAAAGTACAGTTGTGTCTGTAACATCATCTGGCAGCCCGATGATGGTACGTACAGACCTGGACCCTCTCAGGTTTTTTTGAATAAGCAGGCTTTGCCAACACAACTCGCGTTTTTCTTGCAGCAGGGACCTATAGGTGTAACTTTGCAAACCCAACATCTTTGGAGAACGTACTAGGAACTTCCATTTTAATGACACTGTAACAACAGCGGCTGTGGGTTCAGTAGTATTTCTTCTGCAGTAATGCCTGTACGCAGCCCCTCTGGCGTGTGCAGCCACATGGCCAACTCGGTCTGACGCACAGTATGTGAATTGAGTACTGTCTATTTAATAGTTAGTCAGTGGATAACACTGATCTACATTGAATTTCATCTGCCAGTCCAGGTTGCAAGTATACTTAAGAAGTATTGGATTACAGAATTTACAGCTATCTATCTTCTTAAAAAGCAAAAAGACTCTTAAAAAAGTGAGACAGGTTGTAGTACACCTGCAGTAGGAGATCGCTGCAGTTTGTAGCAGGTACTTCACAGAGAAACTGTCTTGTTTTTAGCTCCTCTGCCTGAATTTTTCCTTCCTTTCAAATTTTCATGGGGGGGGTGTATGTGTATGTGTATACACACACACAAAGCCACTGTTCTACTTGAAGTGCTGGGATAGTGGGATTTAATTAGAACCATCAAATAACACAGTGTAATTAGGGTATCATGTTGCTTTGTCCTCCCCATCACATTAGTCTTACTAAAGAAGATAAATGTTTTAGCCATTTCATTTTCTAGTCAGTAAGAAATGGTCTAAATTCCTAGCAGCTGCTTGAAGTACTGAGTCACCTCTGTATTCTTCAAGGGGAAAAAAATAAAGCTTCAGTCCTTAAAGCTAGTTTACTACAAAAACATTTGCTTGAATTAGTTATATAAAGGGCTATTAAGAGAGGCTTTGACTTTAGCTGAAGTGAAACCGGGATTTTGTTCGACTGTGACATAAGAATGACAGACGTAGCCACAGAGATACTTTATGTTCAGGAAGATTTCATTATCACTAAGCGTTGCCATTCTTAACGCAGAAAAACAATTCTTTTAAGAGACTAATGCAGCAAGCCAGGTTTAATACTTCATGTGTGTACAGCAAGCTCAGGCTGAATGGCTCCATTCAGAGTTGCAGAAGTATAAATCACCGACATCAGAAAACCCCAGGTCAGTTGTGACAGAAGTATGAAGAGAAACCGCCATCTTGTGGCTACAGATAATGACTTTTAAAACTGAAAACATAATGAATCTTTGCTGCCTTCATATGGCATATCTGCACAATGCTTTAAGACATAATCTCTGCCTCTTATTTTGTTAAACAGCGCACTTCGCAGCTCGTGCTGAGAATCCAGTTTGTCAGAATGCCGCAGCACAAACTCTTCCAGTCCTTAATGGCAGCCGAACCATGTGCTTCAGTTCACAAACCAGCAGCCAGCGCCTGCAACTTCATTATGCTGAACTCTACAAGAGAGAAAGAAAGAAGAGAGGTCACGTGGAGTAGCATGTATTGCTATTTTAACAGTATCCCAATCATGTAATTAAGCAAACTAAATGGAGAAGAAAATATAGATGTACAAAGCTGTAATATTTACAGTTCTTTTTAACACCTTCATTTTTAACTACCCTTTAATTTGTACAAGTTTTAAAGGAATGATAAGTAAGCGTTGATTTCATGTGAAATTAACTTCATTCACTTTCCATAATGTTATGCTTGGCTTCCCCTGTTGTTTCTTCTCTGTTCTCAGGATATGTGAGCTCTTGAAGAAGAGCAGTGTTGTGCGCTCTTGTGTGAGCGCAAACTGGCTGCTACTTGGGCCATCTGGACAGCTGTGAAAACTCCTTCAAGTTCAGTGAGTATCACTCTCGGAGTGAACTCCAGCAGCTCTCAGGGCAGGTGCAGGCTTAACTTTTTGCTAAAAGTTATACTAACTATTTACTTACATTAAAAGAGGAGGAAGAGGTGAAGTTCCAAATTCAGCCACATAACTTCCAGATTTCACATGATATATTTGTAACCATTCCGTCTGGAATATCTGTATGTATTTATTGGGCTATTTCTTATTCTTTTGTTTATATCAGAGACAGTTTTCTCCTAACTTGTCAGGCTTCTCTCAGCCTCCAATAATTAAGGAGTTGAAATAAGTTTTTTTGAGATCAGTGAATTCATCTTGTAACATCTTCATTTTGAACATAACATTTCTATTAGTTGACTAGAAAGCCTTGAAACAGCAATGCTCAGGTCAACTTTTGCTCTAAAAACAATGCCTTGGATGGGCAAGAGGTTCAGATTCTTGTTTTCCAAAACTGCAAAAATGTTAGTCGGGGGTTTCTTAAAATTGTACTAAAAGCAGAAAGCTGTAGACAGTAAGAACAGGAAGATGAGCAGAGAAAACTGCTCTGGGGACAGCAGGGTGTCTTTGAAGGTTATTCACAGATGTCTTAAGTATATTTAAAAAATTGGTCAGAAGACTAATACCTTTTTTTTTAATATGTATATCTCAATGACAACTCAAAACACAGGACCTACTTACATTAGGAAGCATCTTCAGTGTAAAGGATTATCAGAATATCACACAGGAAGAACTGGCTGACCTCAAAGACGTACACATGTAGTATCACAAAGAGCCAGTTCAACAAGCACTTTAAACGTGCCGTTAGCTCAGATCACCTTTAGATGCTCTGAAGGAGAAAAGACTCGGTGACTTTCAGCCACAGATGCTGCAGCTGTGAAAAAGGCTAATGCAATTCTGCAATGGAACTGTGCAGGGCAACAAAATAATGCTTTGCATAATTCTAGTCATGAAAATAAACTTAATGGTGTTCAAATACTTTAATGAGAAAATGAAGGGAATGAAGATCCCCTCTATTAGGAAAAACTTAGGAAAGAAGACTGCACGGGTGATGTTTCTGAATTCTAAACTAATTACAAAGGACAAAACTTTCTAGAAGTATGAAAGCAGAACAATGAAAATTACAAAGGTCAAGAATAAATTGAGATACCACTGTTTTTAAGCTTAATCAGTTTACAGAATGGATTATATGCTGTGGATGCCTGTGATATTAGGGAAGTAGCCTTGAGTCATCAAGGGTTTTCACCTTGTCTTGTAATACTCAAAGTAAAAATAATTTTTCTTCGTAAACTGTAACACATGTTCTCTAAAACAGTAATAATTCGGCCTCCTCATCTTTGGAGAGAGAGGAAAGGAACCTCTCAGGAACTCTTACCAAAGCAGAAAATTCGGTATTTCTGAAATCCTGAGCAGATGGGCAATTCCAAACTATCGGCATTAAAATGGAATGGGACCTACATGTGGATATAATGTCTGTCATCTTATGAATGTATTAACGTTTAGACTATATTCTTCCTCTTAGGCAGTGTTAGAATTCTGTGGCTTGCACGACCAGCCACATTATCATTTCGTTGTTGAAATTGACTGGGAAGTTTTTATCCTCCTTCTTTCCCCAGAAAGGGCAGATGAACAGTTTTTGAAACATCTGTACTGTATTATTTCATTCTTGTGTTTTGTCTAAGTACGATGTCACACTGCAAGTCTGAAATGTTTTCAAGAAATGAGCCTGGAAGAGCTTAAGACAACAGTCTTCAGCAGGAGGAACGTCCTCACAGCTTACTACGGAATATATGGAATTGCTGGACATTGGTACATTCATGCACCAGTGAAGAACTGCATCTCTTGCTCAGAAGTACACAGTAGATTTGGTGGAACAATTGATCATTACTATGTTTCTTTAAAAAAGAAACCCTCAGGAGCACATTTCCGTACTTTACCTTGGATACCAGCTGTGGTTTGGGCACTTTCATGAGATCACAGAGATAGTTGCGTTTCTCTCTTACTACTGGCAATTCAGCTTCCCTGCATGAGGAAGTATTTTCCAGTTAATTCAAAAATTAAAACCTGAAGTTGGCTACATACATACAACTTCTTAAGCCATCCATTTTATTATTATATTACTATGTATGCATCTATACTTTCACGTACATTTCACATTGCAGAAGTTTTTGTTGTGTCACATTTCAAGAAAAATGTCGCATCTTTGTACCCTCTTAAGCAAGCCAGATAAACCATAATGTCCCAGACTATTCTTCTAGGTTTTTGTATTCCAAAAAAAATAACACTTACACATACAACCCTTTTGACTAGAGGTTCGCTAATTTGTTCTCTGAATTTATAGCTCCTTTTTGCTTTAGAAAACTTGACATCAAGAATTTAACTAAAGTCACTGGATTTAGAGAACATCCTACAATCTATAAAAGCTTTCTCCTGAAATAGAAAATCCAGACCTAAAACTTGTGAGTCTTTTAAAAAGTTTCTGAAATAGCATGATGTCTGTGAGATAATTTCCTCAAGAACCGTCAGTTACAAAAAGCCCCCAAATGCCAAAAATCCATACAGACAACATTCTTTTCCATGTTGTAAAAAATCTACCGCTCTAACCGGAATGCTGTGAGACTGCTAGTATTACTCACCAATTCAGTAGATTTATTTTGTTTTTCTAAAGTAACAACTGTAAATGGGCTATTAAAAATTTAACGCTTAGCACATAAACGGAGTCCAAAACTACACAGAAAAAGCATGAAGGGCAAGTTAGAAATAACCTGAACTTTTTTTTTTTAGGCACCTTGGACAATTTGTCATATTTAATACCAGAAACCTTCTCGTAGCTAAACAAGAGTTATTATTTATAGAGTAATTTGTTTACACTCTGAATTACACAATTGTATGATAAACTCTTTGTAGTTCCAACAAGGAACAAATATGCAAATGCCAGTAATTATCATCTTCCCCAAATATTAATTCTCATTTGGCTTCCTAATGTTAATGCTTACTGTAATTCAGAATTTACTATGCTTGTTCTAGCACTGAGAGAGTTTGAGAATAACAAGCAGCTCTCTCTGACACTCAGCAAGGACTTCAAATATCTTCTTTTGTAAACAGTTCAAATCTACCAAGATAAAACAATTAAGTTTTAAGTAAACTTGCTTTTCATCTTTAGTCTTAGCGCAACGGACATAGTGCAACAGGGAACTCAGAGCAAGCCCTGAACTAAGACAGAACAAAACAGGCAGCCAGTCACACCTTAAAAATGACAAGGTGAAAATAGAATATTTAGTTTTCTGAAGTGGTTTTTCAGAACTATTTTGCTTTGGTTTAGTAACCCATTTATGAGTAGAGCTGTACTACCACGGCTTTTTCTGTAGCAATTTGGTGTGTACCACTTCTAACTTTGGTATTGTAAACATCCCTCTGACAGCAGTAATCTAATCCTACTCAATTGTTTCTGTTAACAAATTCTTTCTGTAACTTCTGAGCAAGCCTGCTCTTAAATTCAGATTTCATAAGCAAGCACTGACTCACACTAAACACAATACTAAACATCAATATGTAGTTAAGCGAGTCATTTTAACAATAGGCAAATTGTTGATAACCAATTCGTCAAATCTGAGACCGTTATTCTAATTTTGTACTGGAAAACTGAGAAAAATAGCAGCAGCCACCCCTTTACAATGACAAACTTTGTATTTGGGAAAAGAAAACTAAGTTATTTAAGCTCAAGCACAGAAATAAAATAGAAATTAAACAACAGTTAAATAATGTAAGCATGCAGTCTGAAAATGTGTAAACCACAACCTTAAGGTATATTTGTTCATTGAACATGTCTAGGTTAATTTTATTTCCATGAAATGTGAATGAAGACAAAAAGCCATTTAATATGATGACTAAATAAATTATGTATTTTTTTATATCTGTCTATTCTCATGTATTAACTTTGACTACTGTTTGAGGCAGGGTGTGGGGCTAGTAGGCCCGTGACCCAGGAGTCGTCTGCAACAAGGAAAAATGTTTAATGTGGCAGCAAAACGAATAAACTAATTAGTATCTTAAAACTCCGTATTTCCTCAAATACCCGAGGCATGCAGTCTGATAAACTTCTCCAGGTGACTACAATGCACAATGCTAAAATTTGCAGAAGAGGAAAAAACAGTGCCAAAATTATGGTGAGTATTCCCCCCTCCTGTCACTGCAAGGGTGCTGACCGAATGAGTTCCTCCCGCCCCGGAAAGACACTTTGCTGCTTCGGTGAATCTTGCTCATGAAGAACGAGACCCTATTCCCCCTGCGCTTGGAAGAAGCCAACATTACAGGTAACAGTAGGTAAAAAGAATAATTACATTATATAAAAGTGGTTGTTTAATTCATGCGATCAATATGCTTGGGAAACATCTAAACTGTTCCAATTCAAAATATTTGCTTGAATACAACGTTTGTAGCATTTTAGGCAATTACATTTCATGGGAGGTTTGAGCTGTTCTGCTAATTCTGTTGTTTTCCAGCTTGCAGAGATCCTTCCTTTCCCAAAATCCTGCCAGTGCTCATAAATGCCAAGAAACTGTCTGTGCAGTTGAAGTTTGACTGTTTGCACAGCCCAGTCTCTCTCTGTTTCATGGAGAATTTCCAAGATCTCCTCCCTTTTCATGTTGTTAGAAAAATATAGATGTTTTACTTTACCTAGTGGTGATTTTGTACACACCACTTCCAGTGGGACAACATACTAGATTGTTCTAAAGAACAGAAGAATTCTTTTCAGCAATGCCTTTCTGTCCTAAAGGTGATCAATAGCTAAAACTACGGTATAGTTTCTTACAGCTTCCTTGCCACCAGCTTTCAAAGGCACTGACACTTTTTAAACTTCAGTGGTACAAAAATTATTTCAGCTCTTATGACTTATCTGGCAACAAATTCACTTACCAGTTGGTATCGCTGAGTACGGTCATAACCTCATCCATAATGGCAGGATCAACTACATCGCTGTAGGTTATCAACATCTCATAAACTTGACTGGCTGTCGTCTTCCGTATCTACGGGGAAGAGGCAGCGGAACCCTTAGTAAAGTATCCGGAGTCCCCTGTAGAAGAGCCCAGTGCCATTACTGGTACCGGTTCTTCACACTGACCATCATTTTATGGTGGACACTTTGTAATACTCAGACCTACAGCCTGTCCTTGCCGCTGATAGCGATTTGCTGCAGGAAGGGACTTCATTTCTGCACCTCAAGGAAATGCATGCTACTGCAATTGGTATATTTTCATTAAACTTTGGCGGGATTTCAGATTAAGATCTGTCCCCCACAGGGAATGAATTCAAATGTTTGAGAACGGCCCAACTGGAGCATTTCTTTTTTTGAAGTGACTCATTGAGCCAAAGTCTGGCTCTAACTTGGTTGCTGTAGGCCCACAAAACAGATAGGTTTCCCAGTCTGGAGTCAGCAAAACTCTTTAAAAAACTGTTGGGAGATAGATGATGACGTGAGCAACATTAGCTTTTTACACTCCAGTTTCCGGAAGCGGTTAATTTGCAAGTATTTTTCCCAGAGCACTGTTTAGTTGTGATGTTGGTGTGCGTACAGAAAAAGCGAGCTAGGCCGCTTTCTGAAGTACAATGCGTAGAAAGATACTAAGTGGAAGACAGCAAAATTGCAACAAAAACAAATTCTGTTTTTTTTTTTCCCAAGAAAGCCTGATGATAACCAAAGGAATGCAGAGAAATTATAGAGTTATTTCTGGAGTAGTAGTGCCAAATTAAATTAACCCATCTGTAAAAACAAAACATGTTTATGATGTAAAATACCAATAAAACATGAAATTGAAATGATCTCTCTCCAGTTCTTACATTGTGCCCTTCCTGTAACAGATTATTCACATAGCAAGTACACACAACATGGAAACAGTTGGACTGTTTCTGAACAGTCCAGAACTTCTGAAAGATCTGAAGTATCAAACTTTGCTGAGTACCGTATGATTTTAACCTTATCAAAAAGTAATCGGCAAAAGTAATCAATGTTAGAATAAACAATGTTGGTTTGCATTGGCCAGACACCAGGCTATTCAATGTCTTCTCAAACCACTTTAAGACCTCATGGGTTTTCACGTTCTTTTTATGTGCCCTTGCAATTACTTCTGACAGCCTTTGTTTCTCCTACACTGCTCGACTGTAGATGCAGCTTAATGGCTGCCCGGAGCAGGCGAGGTGCACTCGCTGCTCCTCACTCACTCACAGGAACGTCCACAAATGTTCCCAGGTGAAACCCTCGTACTGAGCACCAAAGCCAGAGCGCGCCGTTTTACGTGTCCGGTTGTCGCAGCAGCTGTAAGTCGGGGCTCCCAGGTCTTGCACAGTGAACACAGCCCCTCTCTCAAACACTTAAGTCAACAAAAATTTTAAAGGACTACAATAATATTATCCCACACATGATCTTCTCCCATACATACTGAATAGTAACTCGCGTTTTGTGCCCCGCTTCAGTTAGTTACATGAAAAAGGTAAACTTCTGATAAACTTTCCTGGGTTGCACAAGCTTTTGGCACACCTGACAAAAAGAACAAATACGTTTTTCTTGAACCAGAACTACTACTGTGTTGCCACTATCAGAAATATTGCAAAACTAACAGTAATTGATCCCGATTGGAGCTTTCGGGCAGTAAATGGTGAACAGATCTTCACTGTGCTGGGTGCTGTGTAAAAGAAACAAACGACTTGGGCACCTAAATTGCTTCTAATTTAAAATGGTAAGGACAGAAGGTGGAAAAGCAGTATGTGGAATAGCCAGGTACGCTGCAAGTATCCAGTAGCCTGTTTCAGGTGGCAGCATTGCAGATAGGTTTTGTATCTCAAGGGTCTGCTATTATATACATTAAAGCAGCATTCTTTTTTAACAGATATTAATGTACTTTAAATTATTTTTTGCTTGTATTTTAAATAAAATATTTGATAATGCGCAATGTCTTCAATACTTACTACAGGAAATGGATGGCAAAGAAGGAGAAACAATTGAAATAAAACTTTCTCTTTCATGTCTCCTTGAAATTGAATCAGGCCACAAAACCTAGAAAACGTAAGGAAAAAAGAGATCGTGTGTGGTATTTGTGTTATAACTGCAAAAGTACATTCTGAGGATCAGAATGAAGATGTGTATCAGAAAAAAGGGCAGGAGGGGAAGCTTCGCTACCGCCAGGAAATCTCAGTTGACATTCTAAGTGCTGTGGGAAAGCAAACACTGAGGGTAAGGGCACTGAAATCCTTAAGGGTTACTGAGATGCCACACATCTATGCCAAGTACAAATCGGTTTTAAAGCTACTGACTGGCAGCACCGAAGTCTGCGCGCTAAAAACCACATGGGAATCAAGCTCTCGCATAGACAACGAAAGGACAGGGCAGGCTCTTACACGAGGCGGTTAAGAGTGAAAGACGAATTAGAAACGTGGGCAACTTCTCATTTTGGGCTTTCTTGCACTCTTAAAACATTACCAATAAAGAAGTGAAATTGAAGTCCGTAAAATCATTGCTTGACATACCTATACCTGAATAATTTTGCCAAGTTTCTGCCAATGAACCTTTGTTCAGCTTCGCAACGCTTTGGCTTTTTTCCCCTCCTCTCCTCGCCCAGTATTGTCTTTCCTGACTGATACATTTTTGTTTTGACTTCTCTGCTCCTGAACTGAGGGCTTTTACCCTAAAGCCAGATAATAATTTTGCAGGTGTTTTCAGCTCTTTCTAGTGCATATGTAAGATCTAATAAATTAATTTATTTTGCATTGGCACCAAGTCAGGCTCTCTACAAGCCAAAAGCAAATGATTCACTGCATCTTTAAGAATATCAACATTTTAAAAGTAGTTAAATTTTATCAGATCCTTCATGTGTTTTCACCCCAACCACCCAGAAGTACGTGAAACTCTCACAACCTTATATTACATGTATTTGTGTGCATTTTTCATTTAGATTTCACATGAAGTAGACCTAGCTGTTACATCTGGTATGTACTGTACTTAAATTTTCTTCACTTTTTATAAGCAGAGAAAAGACTATTTCATTAACTCACACTCCTATGCTGGAGCGAAGCTTCCGGACGTCTTTGGATCTTTTGATCTCTTCTTTACAAAGGGTAAATAACTTCACTGAAAAGGGATGGCTGAAAATGGGAAAGAAAAAAAGGTGAAAAATAGATTTCAATAGAATTTCAAAACACATTTAATGATTGTAGAGATGCCAAATTGCTATTCAAAGGAGAGGAAAGACACAACGCAGAGCAGTACAGCAGCACACCCTGCTTTAGGCGGACCTTTGGTAAAGGCACAGGCGAGTTTGGCCACCATGTTACCGGGCCTTTGTTTTTTCTTTTTTACAGGGGAAGGGAAGAGATTAGTATTAATTATTTACATTGCTACTACCTGTTCGCTGAGGCGTGAACTACATTTACCCAAGCTGATTCAGTATATGCATGATAATCGGTTAGCCAGGGCTTGTGTTTGCAACAAAGCGTGGTATGATCAGAAATACTATGTCAGGAATTAAAATAGTCTATAGCCAAATAAAAATTATTTAGTCTGTGTATCATTGTGGTGCCTTGGTCATTCCCTAAGGTCTTCAACCAAACATTTCATGAAAGGGGATGAATGTTGTTCTTAAATACTCTACCATTTCACAGCCCAAATTCCTTTAGTGATTCCAGACAACGTAATTAAACACAGGGCTTACAGTTCTGTTAAGTGTACGAGTCATGAAGCCATCTTTAAATATATTTAGCAAATTCTTTTCTTTTTCCAGAGTCTGGGAAACGTGATTCTCACAGCTCTTTCCCAGACACTCATACAAACACAAGTATTGTTAGTATATTCCAAGGATCTAGTAAAGAGAAGTAAAGAGGGAATATCGCTTTTATTTCAGTACAAATTATTTAATCTTTTACTTGCTACACTCAAGGCTGAAGTGCCATTGATGCAAAAGAAACTATTTCATATTTGTCTAGTAAGCACAATTACTTCTAGCCTGCATATTTTGGAAACCTCACTGTATTGTGTATGTAAAGCAGAAAGCAAAACTAACATCTGGTTTTTGCTACCATGATTCAGAGCTGTGGATAAAAACTACTCAGAAAAGCTATGTAGTGTAATCTGTTGAAAAACAGAACATTTAAAACAAGAGGTTTATAGGAGCGACAAGATGTTTTGTTAAGTTAATGCACCTTGTTATGTATAGTTTTCCAGACAAGAGTTAGTGTTTTTTAATTACTTTAAAAAAATTATTAACAAAATACTGACAAATACTGACTTGGTTAAAAAAACTGAACAACAAACCATGGAACCATTAAGCTAAAGGATGCTGCCCATGGCTGTCTCAATATTGTCCAGAAAACTACACTGAAAGAGTAACTAAAATTACCAGGTTTTCAATGCTGATAGAGGCTTCATAAGACATTTTCAGAGCTGACAGTGGCTTTCAGGACCAAAGAGTCTGGGGAGGGCTGATTTAGAATCCCTCCATCAGATGCTGGAAGCACAAGTTCCTTGCCCACCCATTGCCGGCAGTCACGTCAGCACTTTTCCACATTTGAAGGAGTTTGATAAGCACGGAAAGCGTGCACGTAGGAGACACACTGTGAGAATGACGGGCATCTGCACTACTGAGTCGGGGTGTGTGTCTAGGGACATTGATTTGTCTGGGTAGATGAGGGAAGAGCATCTCTGCTCTCTTAATACTAAGAGGAGATACGTTTTTTCTTACCTTGGTGAAATTTCTCCTCCTCCCACCCCCAGTTACACAAAGACATTGTGTAGACAACTAATTACAATACCTGCAATGCATGCCTGGCTTTCAGCACAGAGCAGCAGCAATATAGTGAATTAGGTGAGATTTAAATTGGTTGAACAACAGGGACATCGCTGAGAAGTATAGCAACAAAGAGACCAACTGGGACAAGAGCATCTGGAATAAATTTAATACACGTAACCTTATGTGCAGCATTTCGTGTTTAAAACAGATGCACCTTCCTTTCTGTCATTTCCCAATTTCACATTTGTAGTACCTAAACCTAACCTATGTGTGATCTCAAATCATAGAATCATAGAATGGTTTGGGCTGGAAGGGACCTCTAAAGGCCATCTAGTCCAACCCCCCTGCCGTGGGCAGGGACATCTTCAACTAGACCAGGTTGCTCAGAGCCCCGTCCAGCCTGACCTGGAATGTTTCCAGGGATGGGGCATCC